TGTATAACCATCAATTATACTAAAATATTAATATTTTTGAGGTTTTTAAGGCCATTTTAAATCACATAATAACCTTTATGTCAAGCAGCTATGTGTCATTTCCAAATATTAAAATACATTCTTCACTGTGGAAGTTGTGTGTGCTTTGCTTTCTGCAGTAGAGGGCTTCCCTTCTCAGTAGTGTGCATCAATAGCAATTATGTGGCTTTTTCACAAGATGGCTACCAGCAGGAGATTCTTAAGAGTGCCAAATGACATTTTCAAACACATTTCATGGTGAGAATTGCATCTTCTCTTATCAGATTAGAGGAATCTTTTAGCTTTCTTTTCAATGTGAATTTAAAACCTGGCTTTTTGAAAACTGGGGGGGGGGGTTACCTGAAGATGGGATGCGAAAGACTGCTTCCCTCAAGATCAGCCTCACTAAAATGTAATATCTACATTCACAATTTCAGTAGCAACAGGGCAAATACCCTGAAAGAGACAGTGAAGAACTATATTGCTATTCTAAGAATGTAGGGACCTGCCCCAGCTGTCCCTCTCAGGAAAGTACAATTCTTGATGCCATGTGGTTAATCAAAATAACTTTTACTGAGAAACAGTGGTTGCAGTAAAGTCAAGTGGAATCTAACATTCCTGCACCAAGCACCAAGCCATTCTTTCCTCTTCAACCCCCCCCCCCCGACTAGTCCACCGGCAGCCAATACAGTGCTGCAAGATTGTTTTGAGAGTGCTGAGGTAAAAGACAAGGCGCAGCGACTTTGGGTCCTGGCTGGAACCAGCTTGGAAGGAGTCCGTCCTGTCCAGTGGTGGGATTCAAACATGTTAACAACCAGTTCTCTGTGTGGATGCCGCTTCCGGAAGTCCATTCTGGGCCTGGGCAACAAAAAATTAGCTACTGGTTCTGCTGAACTGGTGCTCCCTTTGGAGCATCCGCCTGCCCCCTCCACCAGAATGGCAGGGCACCAAAAAGGGAACCTGACAAAGATTGTCTTCTTAGACAATCTTGTCTTCTTAGTCTAAACATTTTCTTTTACTGGTAGCCGTGATTACATTTGCCTTGTGCCAGTTGAACTGGAATGTCCAGCTTATTTATAAAGAATCAGTTTGGAATAGACTGCAATACAGGTAGTCCTCGACTTATGATTGAGCTCAAAATTTCCATTGCTAACCAAGACAGTTGTTAAGTGAGCTTTGCCCTATTTTACGACCTTTCTTGCCATAGTTGTTGAGTGGATCACTGCATTTGTTAAATTAGAAACATGGTTGCAAATGGAATCTGGCATCCCTATTGACTTTGCTTGTCAGAAGTTTGCAAAAGGTGATCATATGACCATAGGACTAGGTCATTGCAACTGTCATAGATATGAACCAGGGGGGTTGCTGCAATTGTCGTACATGTGAAAAATGGCATGTCACTTTTTTCAGTGCTGTTGTAACTTTGAACAATCACTAAACAAATGGTTGTAAGTCAGGGACTACCTGGATTGAAATAGTATGCTTGTATGAATGCATGCCTTCCTGTCCGTTTTTAACTCCTAGGAGTGATTGTCTTTGCAGTTTTCTTGGCAATGTGTTTGGAAGTAGTTTGTGATTGCCTACTTTCTAGGACTGAGAGGATGTGACTGGCTCAAGTTTACCCAGGTGGTTTTGTGCTTAAGGCAGGACTAGAACTCCCAATCTCCCGATTTCTAGCCTGATGCCTTAATTAGTATACCAGACTGGCTCATTTATGGGCAATCAGGATTTTATCGTGTCTAGTTTCAGAGCAGCACAAGTTTTGATTCATTTCTTTTGGTAATGTGACTTTGCCTATCTGAGGAAGTGTTCAGAAAGAGATCATTTTTAATAGCCAAGTGATAAAGGCAGGGCTTTTCAAGAAAAACTACTCCGACAAAAATGTAAGTGAGACCTTTATAGCATTTTAAAAATGTTATTAGGTTCCTAACACTTACCATGTGGGACCCAAAGGTTAATACAGAACTATCTCACCCATCTAGAATATGAGGTTCAAAGGTAGGGTGAGTCTTAGTAAGGATTACTTGAACAGTTAAAGAGGTATGGCAAATGATGGGATGGAACAGTGCATGTCCATCAGTTCATGTCCATGATACATTCTCATCTGAGGAAGCTTGCACAGCATAGTTTCACGTTCAATGCTTCAGAATCCTACCACATGGGAATCATAATCTGTGCTCTTGCTAATCCTATCCCCAAAGCTTGTGTGGCATCAAGCCAGTTATGATTTGTTTCTAATGCAGATAATCTAGTTCTTGGCCACTCCCTGGAAATCATTTTTTTGTTTGTTTTCTGTATACTTCAGGAAGACAAAGTCCTTTCCTACCAGTGCATGTTATTTCTTCAGAGAGTAGAAAGTGGGGACATGTGGACCAACCAGTCTTAACTCATAGCTTCTCTCTCTACCGGGTGTCTGATTCCTACAGTTAACACTAATCCTTCCAAAGATGAGATATTGCTGGCTTAGGAAGAGATCCTACTACTGTGATAACTGGTTTGCAGTCACATTTGGTAGGACAACATAGGGATAAAGGCAGATTGATTTTAAAGCAACCTGGATATATTTTGTAAATCTAGCAGATGCTGAGTTGGAAGTTCAAATAATTTGCTCTATTTAATTCACTTCATTAATCTTGGAATGAAGGCCACACACCCATTCAAATTAAATTAGACAAATGTAGAAACTTGTGTAAATCTACTAAATGTTAAAAAAACCCCACCCTTTTGAAATAATTTACATACATTTCAATACATCCCCCCCCAAACCAGGCCTTATGTCCAATTACAAATATCTGTTTGCTTTCATTTTACTCTTAGTTTGTAAACTATTCAATTTTATTGAATCTGCTTTCATTTTCTTGTTTTTGTTCAGGACTCAGAGGAGCCCACTTAGCTTGTCTATTCAAATTTGTGACTGCCACAAATAAAACAAAACACCTCCTTTCCTCTGGTGATCTTTAGTACTTGCAAACCTCTTCATAATGTTTGGATACCACAATGAATAGTTTATTTATATTATTTATTTGTATCATTTTACAAGTCATTTTACAAATAATTCAACATATCCAACATACCTTTCTCCTTCTCTTTTCCTCACAATAACAAGCCTGTGAGTAGGTTGGGCTGAGAATGAGTGGCTGGCCCAAAGTCACTCAGCCAGTTTATGAATTACTTGCTAATTATTGTACTGACAAAATCAGCATATGTGACGCAAATATAAAAACACACATTTATACACATTTTACTGAATATTCAGTCTTTTTCAATGCTTTGCTTCCCTTAATCTTCTCATCCTTACCACAAGGTTCCGTCTTAGACCCAGTACTCTTTAATATCTTCATAAATGACTTAGATGAAGAAATTAAAGGGGAACTCATCAAATTTGCAGATGACACCAAAATGACAGGAGTAGCCAACACCCCAGAAGACAAACTCAGGATCCAAAAAGATCTTGACGAACTTGAACAATGGGCCCTATCCAACAAAATGAATTTCAATGTGGACAAAAGCAAAATTTTACATTTAGGCAGGAAAAATCAATGGTACAAGTACAGAATGGGTGAGACCTAGCTCAAAAACAGTAACTGTGAGAAGGACCTTGGAGTCCTAGTGGACGATCACTTGACTATGACCCAGCAGTGTGCAGCAGCAAACAAAAAAACTAATACAATCCTGGGTTGTATAAACAGAGGCATAGAATCAAGATCATGTGAAGTATTTAGTATCGCTTTATAAAACTCTAGTAAGACCACACTTGGAATACTGCAGCCAATTTTGGTTACCATATCACAAAAAAGACATTGAGAGTTTGGAAAAAAATTCAGAGAAGAGCAACTAAGATGATCAAAGGCCTGGAGACTAAAACATATGAACAATGGCTGTGGGACTTGGGTTTGGCTAGTCTAAAGAAAAGAAGAAATAGGGGAGACATAATAGCGGTATTCCAGTATTTGAGAGGCTGCCACAAAGAAGAGGGGGTCACATTATTTACCAAAGCACCAGAGGGAAAGACGAAAAACAATGGTTGGAAACTGATCAAAGAGAGAAGCAACCTGGAATTAAGGAGAAACTTCCTGATAGTGAGGACAATTAACCAGTGGAACAGCTTGCCTCCAGAAATTGTGGGTGCTCCATCACTGGAGATTTTTAAGAAGAGACACTACACAGTCACTGGTCTGAAATGGTATAGGTTTTCCTGCTTGAGCAGGGAGCTGGACTAGGAGACCTCCAAGGTCTATTCTGTTCTGTTCTGTTCTATTCTATTCACATTAAACTTGACATTACATCCTACTATACATATATAAAATTGCATTGTATGCTTGATGTTTGAGATAACAGTGTGATTCCTCTGAGGGCTCCAGTTGCCATATTTGGCAATATGATGTCATAGACAACCTTAACAACAACTGTGTAGTTCAGCAAAATCTATCAATTTGAAAACAAGGGCAGTGAAGACTAAGCCAAAATAAACAGTGCAGAAAATTAATAGAAAAAAGAAGAGAAGAATTACAGTAGCATTAAATACTTTTAAGTTTGGCATTTAGGTTTGGGAGCAAGGGGAATTAGTTGATAAGCAAAGTGAGTGTGCTAATTTAGCACTTACACTGATGTGAAAATATATTCTGTGAAATGTTTATTATGTTAGGTATCCAGCAGAAACTAAAGTGATAGCACAACATTGTTAACAAATAACATTACAGGTGCAGATGAGTTTCATGTCATAAATTATGGTTAAGTAGTAAGGAATCTGTTGAATATCACAATTGCTAATGAGGACAACCTTTGCTTTTCCATATGGCTGGGGGGGCTCTTGTCTTAATGAGCTCATCCTCTAATCTGTTACTAATATGCATTAGACTCCTTTGATCCATTCTCAGTGCATTCTGGATGCCAAAGGTTGTTCTTTTTCTCATTTCAGAACTGTCCTTACCTATTTACTGACATTTGATGTTAACTTTATTTTTTTCCTCATTAATTTCCAGAATGCAGAAACAGCAAGAACAGTGTCAGATATTTGCAGTTCTCATCTTCACATTTATTTTCCTGCTGGCAGCTGTGAGTACTACTGAGGCTGGCAAAAAAGAAAAAATAGGTAAGTGCAAATAATTATAGACATTTAGAGAGGGGGTGGCATGCTGTAATTTCTTCTTCCATCTTTGGTTTACTGATGGTTGGTATTAAAGTGCTCTATTTCAGCTAAGTGAAAAAATACTGCACAATGCTGGGCTTAAGTCTCTTTTTTTATGCATGTCACTGGTACCTTTAATAGAGATGAGTGGAGCTTCAAAGCAGGGAGCCAGGTCCTTAGTTTTTAAGGAAAGTATCCTCTTAGCAAAACCACAAATTGGCTCCTTGTGTCACTTCACTTCTATCAATTAAATAGTGGAATCTACTTTCACAGGATGAAATTGAATTGGCTCCATTTCCATGCTTTCCCAGTCAGGCCAAGAGGCAACCATCTCCTGAAACAAAGCATGGAACCTGAATGTGCCCTCTGTAGCTTTTAGCTGATCTAATAGAGATTGCAAAATCCAAAAAAGGATTTAATTCAAGAATCGATACCAAATCTTGTGAGATATCAGAGGGTTGCCTGAACTCTCACCAGATTTGGGGGTTCTTACAGAATACAGAATAACACAGTTGGAAGGGATCTTGGAGGTCTTCTAGTCCAACCCTCTGCCCAAGCAGGAGATCCTATACCAGTGGTTCTCAACCTTTTTAATGCGCGACCCCCAACCGAGGACTACCCAACCGGTCATAAATCGAGGACTACTCAACTGGTGCAGCACCATTTGCAGAATGGGACTTTTGGCGGGCTCAGCAGGGCAGAGACAGCCTGGACAATTCCTATTGGCTTTTGAAAGCCAATAGAATTAGACTCTATTCAAGAGAGTCTATTCTATTGGCTTTCAAAAGCCAATAGAATAAAAGGGAGTAGCACAGCTAAGGAAAAGGGGAAAAAAATGGTGGACTGCGTTGTTTGGCGACCCCCGTGAAATGGTCGTTTGACCCCAAATGGGGTCCCAACCCACAGGTTGAGAACCACTGTCCTATACCATTCCAGGGAAATGGCTGCCCAATCTTTTCTTACAAACCTCTAGTGATGGAACATCCACAAACCTCTAGTGATGGAACTTCTGGAGGCAAGCTATTCCACTGGTTATTTGTTCTCACTGTAAGGAAATTTAGTTTGGATCTCTCCTTGATAGGTTTCTATCAGTTACTTCTCATCCTGTCCGCAGGTACTTTGGAGAATAGGTTTACCCCCTCTTCCCTGTGACAGTCCCTCGCATATTGGAAGCTTGCCCATAACAATGCTGACTCTCAATAGATATCATTATTTCACATTCCTTCAGACTCTTGTTTTAATTTGGGAGTTTTTGTGGGTGACAAAGTGCCCGTAGAAGTCACACTGCCAACTCCAGTATAATTAATGGGGTGGGTAACCTCATACTATTCCTGCCTTTGTAGGAGGAGTGGACACATTAAGTTTTCCGACATTGTGACTCACATTGCTACAGTAGTTACATGATAGCTATTTTAACTGCAACAATGGTAATACTGATAATTTAGAGAATAAAGACAAAGTAAGATAAATTTACATGCAGAATTTATATATAACCAGAATAAGTAGGTGACTTTCAATGCTATTAACCATTTCAGTTTACTGTTGCTCATAACAAAAGTCCAATTAGGTCTAAAGAGGAAAACCAATGCAATTACTGTAGTTTCCATATCAAGAACTCAGAAACATTAAAACAATTCATATGGAAGATATGTGCCAAACTGATTTACAGTTTTATCTACTGCAGTTGTCCACTATGTTGCAGGAGACTTAAAATCAGACTTTGAATCAAAATGTCTCCCAAAAGATTCTATCGTTTGATTTATCACAGACAGCAAAGATGTCTCTAAGAATAGTTAAATGTTATATATAGAATACGCTCCAAGATGAGGAATTGTATAATTTTCTCATCTGTGATATTAGTTGCTGACACTCTGGAATCCCTTTTAAAATACTTTTTTTTTTTTTTTGACAAACTAAGGCAGCTTCAGTGTAAAAAAAGGATGTGCCCACATCCTGACCACAGATGAAAAAGGCAAGGAGAAATATGAGTGTGATCAGTAAAGAAAGCCAGGATATGTAATGTTTAAATCACATTTTTCTTAATCCACATTTTTTTTTAAAAAAAAGCTGATTTCCCCATTCCATCCCTATGTTATCTTACCTTAAAATAATGCTGCTGAATTTAAACTTATTGAAAATCAGCAGCAGCTGAATGGATCTATTGCATGACTCTTCGAGGGCATTGATTGTATTGATTCATTCAAGTCTGATCAATCTGTAGTCTCCAGATGCTGTTGAGGTTGTTGAATATTGAAAATCAGCAATAAACAAAGATAGATTAAGTTCCTCACTTGTAATCGGGCAAATGATAACTGGGGGCTATCATACTAGGGTTTGGCAATTTTGAAGTGTCTGGAATTCAACTCACAGAATTCCACAGTCTCACTACCAGCAAAGAAAATTACTTTACCACCTGAGACAACTTGTTGTTGTTATTGATAACTTTTACTCTTTGAAGATTTTTTTCTTTATGACCAACCAAACCTACTTTTTCGTAATTGAAACCCATTGTGTCTTGTGCTGGAATAACTCCAAACAATTCTGCTCCATCTCTTACAAGACAGACTTTCAGATACTTGAAGACGGCTTACACTTTATCTTCCCAGAATAAATATATCCAATGCTTCCCACAAGTTAAATGGCATTGTGCCATAAACAACAAATTGATGTACCAAACTGATGTATTTGTTATTATTATTCATTACTACAAATTCTATACTGCTTCATGTCCTGGGACCCGGACTGGCTTACAATATTGATACCAAAATATTTTTATAAAAAAATAATACAGCTGAAACCAACCAGTTCAATACCCCTTCATTTGGGATGACATCTTATTCATTCTAAAATTAAGAATCATATTTTTACAGCTTTTTAAAAATATAATCAGAAGTAAAAAGCTAAATGTTTCCTTTGCTCAGTTGTGTCCAACTCTAGAAGGTGGTACTCATCCCCATTTCCTAGTTGAGGGAGCCAACATTGTCTGAAGACTCTTCCATAAGTTGAGACTCATGGAATGCTCTTACCTTCCCACTGAAATGGTACCTATTTATCTACTTGCATTTGCATGCGTTTGAACTATTAATTTGGCAGGAGGTGGGGCAAGAATGGGAGCTCACCTGTCATACAATACTTGGATCTCAACATTCTGGTAACAGCACAGCATCTTAACTGAAGGAGGTGGCCTAAATTTTGGGGGCAAGTCATTCCAGAAGAGGGAAGCCATACTGAAAGTTTGGAGTTGAAGATTTCTGATGATGATATTTTTCCCCTGAAGAGGAGAGGTCCTCAGCAAGTCCTCTGTTCCATATTTTTCTCAAGAGGCAAATTAAATTTGGAAAAAAAAGTCATGAAAATATCCAGATCTTGAGTAACACAGAACCTTAAATGTAACTTCTAGTAACGTCAATTGAATCTAGAAGCTAACTGACATACCATGCAATTCCCATAGTAATAGTGTTATAAGCAGTGGTGGGATTCAAATATGTGAACAACCGGTTCTCTGTGTAAATGTCACTTCCGGAAGTCCATTTTGGGCCTGGGCAACAAAAAATTAGTTACCGGTTCTGCCAAAGTGGTGTGAACCGGCTGAATCCCACCACTGGTTATAAGGATAAACCTAAACGTATCCATAACTAACCAGTCTGTTGAACATTGCAAAAGGTGAAGCTTTTGGATTAACTTCAAGTGCATGAAGACAACTACATCTCAGTAGAATCAGATTTTTTATTCACGTATGCATAAATTCAAGCAGGTACCCCTATACTCTAGCTATTGTCCTTCATTAGTTTTTTTCTTTAGATTCAGAAATGATATTCAAACATGTGATAGATCCCTAGTATGAATTCTAAGCATTCAACTTAGGTCCGACTTTTGAACCAAATCCATTGGTTAAAATGAATGGGGCAACTCCTACCATTTTAACCTTTAGCCTTCCTGACACTTGGATAGAGTGATGGGACCATCTTTGGGTCATTCTAGATGATGACTGAGGGAACAGATTTTTAGTTTTGTTTTTATGATGTTATACTTTGTGCTTTTATTATTGGTGTGAGCCACCCAAAGTTGTGTTTTAAGATGGACTGCAATAAATAAATAAATAAACCCATTCTATCATTCTCCTGCAGTGGCCATCATAAGATCCTGGTTCAGCAATGAAATAGTCTGATTGACTGGATTCTATCACTGTGTCTGGTCTGATTTCATGGTTACTTGCCTATCCATTGATTCATTTTATTTTATTTTCCCTTCATAAGTTCTGGATGGCTGGAGTGAGGAAAGAATCTTTATTTACTTGTTATAGGATGCATTAGACAGTAAAGGTCTGGTCAAAGACCATTTCCATTTTCCACTGGCTCCACAGGCATGTAGCTCCCAGAATAACCAAATGTAACTCCTGGGTTGAGAAGATCACCCATCTTCCTAGGAACAGCCAAGTATTTTCTATGGAGAGCCAAAAGCAGGTGCCAGTAAAGCAGAAAGTCTGAATACACAGACATTTATTTTGTGCCTTCTTTGTTCACAGCTCTATTACAAATATTACCAGTTTTGTTGAGCAAGCTCATCCATGCTATTTTTCCCCCCCACGGGACAGATTTCAGCAGACATAACATTGTCAAGTGCTTTGTGCTTTGTTTTAAAATATAGAGAAGCCATTAACTTTTTCTTTTTTTGATGAAGAATCTAGGGACTTGCCAAAGTGACAAGATGCTGATGGTGTGTTTCACTGTAAGTGGCAATGGAGAAATTAAGTGCAGTAGAATTTGACAGCCTGTACTCATTGGTTTATGACAAAGAAGACATGTACAGCACCGCACCTGCATAAGTGTCTGACTCAGTAAAGTTCTTAAAAAGGTCACAACTTGACACGCTGGGGGGAGCTGCTCTGTATAAAAAAGATGCAGAGTTTTATAATAAGTTAACTGAAGCCATTTAAGGAGCCCCCTGTTACATTAATAAATAATTTGACAGTAGTTACATTATGTCCCTATAGATTAGATGTCTCAGGCATATCAAAGATATACTATAGTGATTATCATAACATTTAACATTATATAAAGCAATTATATAAACTGTTTGCAAACTCCAATAAAAGTTACAGATTGAGTGAAATAATTGTTTACCCATTTTATGTTTGTCTTAGAGGTTGTCACGTTCTCTTTATATAAGCACACATTTTGAATATTTAAAAAAAGTATAAAAAGGGCAATCCACGAGTGATACATGGCCTTCTAGAGTCCTGTTTTGTGGTTTTATAAAAGGTAAAGGCAAAACTTGGAGCTCCCGTTTTGCATTTTTGGGGAGATGGGGGTTAAATAGTCCCAAAGGAGGACTTAGAGTAAGCTTTGTGTGTGTTTAAGAAGAGTTGTTCTCAATGTACTGCACAGAACCTCAAACTCCTGGAAATTGTCCATGTCTAGTTAGAACATCTGTCAAAAAATGTGTCAGCCTTTTGATGTAGTCCATACAGGAAACCAAAACCATGAGTAACAACACTACCTTTATTGTAAGGTTACAGTAACAGAACCTTGCAAGTCTGAAAGCACTGGTCCTCTCCCTTGTCCTTACTTTCCAGAGAACTGGGGAGAGCCCTTGATGAGATGTTTTCTCCATCCGCATTCCTTCTGGAGGCTAAGATATCTCTTGTCAGGCTATTGTCTAGGCTAGGGCTCTTTCTTCCATCTTCCAAAGTTATTCTCAGAGCCCATTACAGAAAGAACACTTGATTTTCATACCTGGGCACTAACATTCATTCGTTCATTTATATTTCATACTTCTTAATCACTCATCTCCCTTGGAGAGGGGTTCTAGGCTGGGGTATGATTTAATAAAATTAAACATTAAGATCAGAATAATTTAAGATTAAAAAATTTAAAATTATACAATATCGTTGTCTTTTGCTTTTTCCCCATGACTCTCTTCAGAGAAGAAGGTGAAGAAATCTGATTGTGGAGAATGGCAATGGAGTGTCTGTGTTCCGACAAGTGGAGATTGTGGCCTTGGGACCCGTGAGGGCACCCGGAGTGGAATTGATTGTAAGCAGACAATGAAGACCCAAAGATGTAAGATTCCCTGCAACTGGAAGAAGCAATTTGGAGGTAATATCCATGGGATTTTGATTAATCATTATTAAAGACTAATCTATTATTTTTTTAAAAAAACTTGTAATTTGAAAAAGAAGTCTTCCCCTTTAATAAGCAACTTAAAACATATTTAATACAAGCATTAAAACTTGACCAATGTTAAGGCATGTATTTATTTAGATTACTTAAACCTGCCTTTTTCAATTTGAAATATATTAGAACAGCATCTTCCAGAATTCCAGTCAACAGCCTGGAAAGACAGAAAGGCAGGAAGAGAGGAAGAGAGAAGGAGATTAAGAGAGAAAGAGAGAAGGAGAGAAATGCAGGAAAGCAGAGAAACAGGAAGACAGGAAGACAAGAAGACAGGAAGAGAGAAAGAGAGAAAGAGAGGAAGACAGAAAGACAGGAAGAGAGAAAGAGAGAAAGAGAGAAAAACAGGAAGACAGACAGACAAGCAAGCAAGAAAAGCAAGCAAGAAAGAAAAGTCAGCAAGAAAGAAACCAACAACCAAGTGAAAACAAAAGAAAACAAAAAACAGAAAGAAAGAAGGAAAGGCAGTCAGAAAGAAATTTCCAGCAGGCAGATAGGTAGATAATTAATTCAGTCTCATATTTATATTAATAACTTCTTATTCTGTTTAATGACTTTGTTAGCAGTTAATGACTGATCCAAACATTTAGCATATGGTATATTCAATCAGGCAGGGAAATAGATCTGGCATTCCTCTCTTCAAGTTACCAAGAAAGATGAAAGGAAAGCTTATTTGGAGTATTTTATGGTGTGTGTGTTGTATGCAGGTAGTTCCGACCTATTACCACAATTGAGCCCAAAATTTCTGTTGCTGAGCAAGACATTATTACCGTATTTTCTGGTGTATAAGACAACTTTCTAAACCATGAAAATCTTCTCAAAAGTTGGGGGTCGTCTTATACGCCCAGTCGTCTTATACACCGGAAAATACGTGTACATCAAAGCAAGCTCCCCCGTATCCTGCGCCCCATGCTCCTCATCCCTTGGCGTGGGGATTGGCTGTCCGGATGAGAGTTGCTGATGGTGTGTCCCACGCAGCCAAATAGCCCTAGAAAAGTGTCCCTCCAAGAAACAGCCGGGAGGAAGGGGTGAGGTTGGAGCGTTGGCGGACCAATGGTGGGAGAGAAGCGCTGGTGGAGAGCCACCCAAGTAAGAATGCCCATGTTGGGTCAGCGGCGGGGGCTTCCCGAGAAGAAGTGCCCCCGCCTCCCTTGCTGCCGAAGTGCTGCTCAACGCTCACAGAAAGCCAGCGATTTTGCAGAAGCGTCTGTCCCTCGGGTAGGGATCCTGCCCCTCCCAGTCTAGGGCAGTGGAGGGAGGCGGTGCGAGCGGGCCTTTTCCTCCCCCAGGGAAACCCCCTGCCACCAGCCTCTGCTCAGGTGGGCGGCAGGAGCAGCTGGTGGGAGCCGTCGGGCTGCACAGAAGGTGCTGCTTCCTCAAGGTTGACCACAGCTGGTGCTGTTGCGCTGAGTGCCAGAAGCCCTGGGACCCCGATGGATGGGTGCTCAGCATTTCCTCCTCCATGCTCTGCTGCTTTTTTGGCAACGTGCCGCCATGGCTGGTGCTCTCGCTGCGCAGATGACAGAGCGATCCACCCACAGGGTATCATCCCGGAAGCGGTCTGGCAGGCTTCCACTGGAATGAGAGGGGCCAGCTAGTCCCTTGGGGTGAGGCAGTTCCTCATATACTGCAAAGTTTCACAAGTGCACCCCCATGCTTATTATAGGATGTTACCCAGCTACATTTGTCTTCAGCAGATCAGGAACAAGCAATGAAATATAATGAAATGCTAATGTGTTTAGGACTTACATTACTTTTATTGGAAAGTTAAAGTACCCGTATTTTCCATTGTATAAGATGACTTTCTAAACCATGAAAATCTTCTCAAAAGTTGGGGGTCGTCTTATACGCCCAGTCATCTTACACGCCGGAAAATATGGTAAGTGAATTTTGCCTTATTTTATGATCTTTCTTGACACAGTTGTTAAGTGAAACACTGCAGTTGTTAAGTTAGTAGCATGGCCATTAGATGAATCTGACTTCCCCATTGACATTGCTTGTCAGAAGGTCTCAAAAGGTGATCACGTGATTCCTGAGACACTGCAACCATCATAAATACATGTCAGTTGTCAAGACCCAAATTTTGATCAACCTAACTACAGGGATGCTGCAACAAGGGCCATAATAACCTCAGTCACTAAACAAATGTTATGAGTTGAGAACTATCTATAAAGGCGTAGACATAAACTCATTTCTGATCTTCTAGCACTTACTTATCATCCAAAATAGTTAATAACATGTTTATTAAAGCACAGAAAAATAACAGGTTTTGCAGTTTTCAATACAAGAAAGCAAAATTTGATCCAGAGTTTATTGGCACCAGCTGAACAACATTGCCCAAATCCATTCCATGTCTCTTTCCTCTTGCATCTACCTGGGTTCAAAGAATTGCTGCTTTGTCTCGTCTACCCACAGACTCTTGATTTTTGTTCTTCATACCCTTCCATGTGGGAACATTCTTCAGCATATCTAGCAAGATGTGGAAGTGCATTTTACTCCTCTGAATGTATACTTGTTCTAACTATGCCACACACCATTCTCTGTAAGTCACAGGGGCAGGTTGTATGATCTTCCTCCACAGTCTTAGTCCAAAGGTCATGATATGACCTGTATTTTGTGCAGAATTTTAATTGGCACCCCATCAAGGTGGCTGAAAATGTGTGCATTGGAACTGTGATGCTACCATATGTCTTTCTTTTTACTTTACACACATACTTAGCTTACAGTGAAATAAATTGATAAAGGTAAAAGGTAAAGGTTTCCCCTGTCCAGTCATGCCCAACTCTAAAGGGCAGCACTCATCTCCTTTTCTTAGCCCAGGGAGTCAACATTGTCCAAAGACACTTCCATGGTCATTTGGCCAGCATGATTATCAGCTGAGGTGCATGGAACACTGTTATCTTCCCACTTATATGGTGCCTATTTATCTACTTGTATTTTCATACTTTCAAACTGTTAAGTGGGCAGGAGCTGGGGCAGGTAACAGGAACTCACCCTGTTATGTGGCATTTGGGCCTTGAACCCTTGAGCCATTGATACAAAGTATTGTCCTATCTAAATGAAAAGTAAAAACAAGCATACTTGTAATTAAAGTAAAATTAAAGTAAAATATCAGATAAAGTATCTCCCTACAAGAAGACCACCAGAGAAGGTACCAAAATAATTTCCAGGTCAAGGAGTTCCACTATTTAACGTGGCCATCACAATTTTCACACTTCAGAGCTGCAATCCCTGCCTTTTCTAAATGACAAAATAACTCTAAGATTTGATAGAGATGAGGAAACATAATTAACATCTTGGTCTGGGGAAATTATTGCGGACTAGGGAAAGACTTCACTGGACCTGTTAGAGTGGCTGAAGTTACAGCTACCTATCGCAAGAGATCCTGAAGAAGATGCTCCTTTGTTCTGTAATGAATGGATAAATCATGTATCATCAGTGATTTGTTAACTCATAGGAACCACATATATAGACCTTGTCCAGGATGACTCATTTTCAGATTGGCCTTTCATATCTTCCAGTGGTGCATTCATTTCCTCTGTAACTGAATTCATCTACCCTGCTACTGGTCAACTTCTTCTTTCTTCCACCATTTCCAGAACTACATTTGTTCCTTACAATCTGAATAACAGCTGATCACCCATACATGGAAGATAAAGCTATGGACTGTACAAGGATCAGGCTGAGTTCTAAACCAAGGGACAAGGATTTCTCATATGTCTTGCATTGCAAGGAGAACAGAAGTACTTTTTAGCAACAGAGGGCTTGTAGAGTATCCCTAACATCAAAAGTTCCACTGAAATTCAAATACAAGATGGAAAGATTACAGTATCAAAGCTATAATAGATTCCATGTTTTTTTAAACAAATGAAGTGTAAGGACCCACCCCACTTTGCATCTTAAGAAGACAGAACTCTTGGAATAGCTCTTCCAACAGGAATCCTTTATTAAGAGAAAATGGTTGCAGGCATGCTAGACATGACTTGGGGTTCAAGCTCTCCCATTCAAGGTTTTAAGGGGTTCCCCAGTAGTCCCACCCAATCAACCCCCCTTCCAGTGATAGTTTCAAGTATCACAATTCCATCCCCTTTCTTCTTCCGTCTGGATGGAGACTTCAGATAACTACATGAAAGGCAATTACTCTTCTTTGATATGTTAAAGCTTAGAGGCCACAATAAACACACATTCAGTCCTTTGAAGTGTGCTGAAGGAAGTGAGGGCCATAAAGCCCCTTTGCTCTCCCCCTTTTCTCCCTCTTATGGCAGAATCCAGAGAAGGCAGAATTGGGAGTTTCTATGTTTGATAATTAAAGATGAAATATAATTGGATTCTGACATCCGGCCCCTCTTAACAATAAGAGAGATCCACCTGAAAGAAAACACAAGTAAAAAATTTAGTTAGGCTTGTTAGGATACTCTGTGTGAAACTTCTTCAATAGCTTCGGGGCTCTGACGTGACGTTTATGGACCCACTCATTTTGTGAGGCAGGGAGGTGTTTCCAGGCAACTAGGTACTGAGTTGTTCCACGATATCTCCTAGAGTCAAGGATCTCTTTTATTTCGAAGTGTTGTTCCCCCTCCACCATGATTGGAGGTGGTGGGGGGGGGATTTTTGGCCGTAGAGGTGACTGATGCTCTCTTTTCAGCAAGCTGCAATGAAAAATTGGGTGTATTTGCCTGAGGTTTTTGGGTAATTCTAATTCTACTGTTACTGGATTTATGATTCTTTTAATTGGAAAAGGTCCTATATATTTTGGTCCAAGTTTTTTACAGGGCTGTAGGGACTTTAGGTATTTTGTAGATAAGTACACCATTTCTCCTATAATGAATGGTGTAGGCTCAACCCTTTTTTTATCGGCTTGTGCTTTGTATGCCTGCCTAGCTTCATCTAGTGATTTTCTGACTATTGCCAGTGTTTTGTAGTTTTCATCCATTTCTTTCAGTGAAGGGATCGTTGGTTCTTTGGGGTTAACTCTGGCATAGGGTTGAACCTTTTGGCCGTTGCTATTTGAAAAGAGTGTAGTCTGTGCTGGAGTGGACTGCATATTGTAGGCAACTTCTGCAAAAGGAAGTAAGTCCGTCCAATCACTCTGTGGGAAATTTAAAAAACATCTCAACTAGTGCTCAAGTACCGACTGGCAGCGTTCCGCTTGTCCATCTCCTTGAGGGTGGTGGCTAGATGTCAATCCCTGAGTGGTCCCTAAGAGGGATAAAAATTCCTTCCAAAATGCCGACGTAAATTGCACTCCCCTATCAGAGATGATGCGTTGGGGTGCCCCGTGCAATCTGTAAATGTGCTGGATGAAAAGTTTTGCTAAGGCCTTTGCAGTGGGAATTTTTTTGGCAAGGGATAAAGTGCACCTGTTTGGAAAATAGGTCCGTGACTGTCCAGATAACAGTATTCCCATTGCTTTCAGGCACTTCCACTATAAATCCTGAGCTTTTCCCTCAGGTGGCTGCAGGGACTTCCACTGGTTGACAGCCCTGGGATTTCCCTTGTAACCACCTTCTTGCTGATGCAACAGGTTGGGCAGCTTGCAACATACATTTCTATGTCCCTTTTTTATTGATGGCCCCAAATTGCCGTTTAATTAAGTGTAAAGTTTTACAATCCAAATGCCCTGCTGATTTTGTGTCCATGGCAAAGTTGGCATGGAAATTTAGTCTTTGAGTTGTTCTGGTATATATACTTTTCCCCTACCCAAGCAATCCGTCTCTCATTTGCACACATGTTTTTGTTTTTCTGAGACATCATCTGTTTTTCGCAAACCTTTTTTCTGAATTCATCCAGTTGGCTGTCCCGTTGTGGTGTTTATTTTGGCTTGGGTCTTGTGGTTACTTGCGCTGCCAGTTGTGATTCTGCCATTATTGGTCTAGATCTGTGGTTCGTGCGCTGTTATAGTGGGGCATGTGAGATAGTGCATCTGCCAGGAAGTTCTTTCTTCCTGGTAAATGTTTGAGCTTAAATTGGAATTGGTGAAATGCTGGGACCAGCGGGCTTGTTTGGGATTGAGTTTCCTGGAAGTTTTCAGGGCTTCTAAATTTTTGTGATCAGTCCACACCTGGAAGGGGATTTTGTTGCCTTCCAGGAACTGTCGCCACGTGAGTAATGCCCAACGTATCCCGTAAGCCTCCTTCTCCCATACGGGCCAGCACTGTTCTGTTTCCGTGAGTTTCTTGGATGTATATGCACAGGGTTGCAATACTGCATCATCATTTTCTTGTAATAGCACAGCCCCCACTGCCACATCACTTGCATCTGCCTGTATAATGAAGGGCTTGTCCATGTCTGGGTGCCTTAGTACTGGTTCGGCAGAAAAAAGTCTCTTTGGTCTCTCAAACGCTGCTTGGCACTCCATTGTCCATGTTAGTGGCTGGCTAGGTTTTACTGAGGATGTTCCCTTCGTTTTTAGTAAGTTGGTGAGGGGCAAGGCTATCTGTGCAACTGAGGGGATGAATTGGCGGTAAAAATTTGCAAAGCCCAGGAAACTTTGTAGTTGCTTTCTTGTGCGGGGTGGTGCCCATTCTAATACTGCTCTGACCTTCTCTGGGTCCATTTCAATGCACTGTGGGGATATGCGATAGCCTAGGTAGTCTATCCTTTCCTGGTGGAATTCGCATTTTGAGAGTTTGGCATATAGGTTAGCGGCTCGCAGCTTCTTTAAAACCGCTCTGACAAGTTTGACGTGTTCTTCTTTTGTTTCAGTAAAGATAAGAATGTCGTCCAAGTAAACAAGGACCCCCTTAAACAGGTGCTCCCTTAGAACGTCATTGATTAATTGCATAAAGACTGCAGGGCCCCCTTGTAATCCAAATGGCAAGACTTTGAATTGATAGCACCCCATGGGGCAGTTAACTGCAGTCTTCCATTCGTCCCCTTCCTTGATTCTCACTCGATAGTAAGCTTCCCTTAAGTCTAGTTTAGAAAAAATTTTCCCTTTCGATAGGTGTGACAGCATGTCTTTCATGAGGGGCAGCGGGTATAGGTTGCTTTCACTGATTGTGTTCAGGCCCCTATAATCCACGCATAAACGTAAAGAGCCATCCTTCTTCTCTCTAAAAAGGACCGGGGCAGCCACTTTAGGCTTAGCTGGTTCAATGAAACCTCTCTCCAGGTTTTTTTTTTATAAATCTTTCCATTTCCTCCTTCTCCTTTGGGCTCATGGAGTATAATCTGGGCTTCGGGAGTTTTGCCCAGGCTTGAATTCAATGGTACAGTCTGTGGGTCGGTGGGGGGGAAGCTCATTCGCCCTCTCCTCACTGAAGACTTCAGCAAGGTCCCTATATTCCTCTGGTATTTCGTTAATCTTTTTTCCTCTCCTAATGGATTCTTTTTCTATCTTGATTCTGGTAGCCTCTCTTGGGTTTTTAAGTCCATAGGGTCCCCCTTCGGGAATTTGATTTCTGTCGTCCTCCAATTTACCCAGGGGTTCCATTTTTTCAACCATTCCATCCCTAGAATCATTGGGCATTCCATGCCTGGGGTCACCACAAATGTTATGTCCTCTTCATGTTTGCCCAGGGAGAGGTGTATTGGTAGAGTGGCTAGGGTAGCTGGCACCCCCCCTGCTATGGATCCATCTAACTGGCCAAATGAGATTGGTTGTTCCAGTCTCCTGGATGGGATGCCCAGATTCCCCACTAGTGTTGGGCTAATGAGGCAGCGGGTGCAGCCAGAGTCTATTAAGGCTTTCACCTTCACAGCTTCGGGCATGGGGGGGATTAATATAGTCACTGTTTTGAAGATGGGTGTGATGCGTCCACTTACCAGGGGTTCGCCTTCCGAGCTGTCATCTGAGGCATCCACCGTCCCTGTGGTGTAGGCTGGAGTTCTTTCCCCTTGGTGAGCAGAGGTGGGGTTTTCTGCAATTTCCATCATTTTCATGGCTGTTTCTTTTGGCTTAGCTGAATACCCTCTGGGTTTGTTGATTGGGGATCTGTCTGGGTTGTGCTGGGGGGCCTTTGAGCGGCATTCTACAGCTCGATGCCCTTCTCTTCCGCACTTGAAACACCCATCTGCTTCTTGGCTGTATCCGATGATTTCACCGGTTGGTGTGTCAGCTCAGGCGGGGGGCGGCTCCATTGTTTTCCTCGGCGATGCCTCTTCAATATGTCGATCTCTGCTTCCTCTGCCAAGACGTACCATTCCTCAAGTCGATGTGGGTCTCCTCGGGGCAGGCAAGCATCATATAGATCATAGTTTAGTCCGTCTTTGAAACGGCCAAGGAGGATGTCTTCTGGCCAATTCAGTTTGCTGGCAATGGCTCGGAATTCTTGTGTATACTCAGCCACTGGGCGTTTGCCCTGCCTCATCGTTGTTATTCTTTCACGGGCTTTGCGATCAGCCAGGGGGTCTTCAAATCGTCTTCTCAACGAGGACATGAAACGGTTGAAGTTACTGAGTTCTGGGGCATTGGAGTCATGCAGGTTCACCACCCAATCTGCAGCTGGTCCATCCAGGGCAGATTGCACGATCCGGATGCGGGCTTTGTCGCTGGGGATGTCCTGCCCATATTCCTCCATGTAGCTGAGGACTTGGGTTAGGAAAAACCCCAAGCGTGTTGGCTCCCCTTTGAATTTCACCTCCAACGGTGGACGTCTTGGAATGGATCGGTGCCTCCATTGTGGGTGGTAGTTTCTTCCGTCCAGATTTCCATCTGTGGTCCGGTAGGGGGTGGGAGCTCCTGGATCAGTAAATGTCCCTGGGGTTGCAGGTTCCACGTCCCCCTCGGTGTCTCTCCCTTTGTGGCTCCAGGAACTGGGGCGGGCGTAGGGCTCAGGAATCTCCTCTCCTAGGGAGCTGAGAGTTCTCTTCATCAGGTCAATAGCTCTCTCTAGGATCCAGTCTGAGTACGGCATACAGCTTCCTCCCTCTTCACTTGCGTGCAGGGATTTCTCCATCTCCTGCTTCCATTCTGGTTGCTTGGTCCCCCGTCTCAGGGTCACTTTTCTTGATTCCTTTCCCCACTCGCTTTTCTTTCCAACGCCCATCGACCAGCGAGGCTTGTGGTCCTGTGTCTCCACCACTTCTTCTTCTGAGAAATCTGGCCTCTCGGATCCCAACATCTGGCAAGGTTCCAACTGGGTCAGCGGCTCTCTTTCCAGGGAGTTTTCTCCCTCTCTTGCTTCGTTGTCTGACATGGTAAATTTTTGCAAAATCCCCCGGCAAGGGTCTACCTTCCAGGTGGATTAATTTTGCAAGTCCTGTCTAATGTAAGGACCCACCCCACTTTGCATCTTAAGAAGACAGAACTCTTGGAATAGCTCTTCCAACAGGAATCCTTTATTAAGAGAAAATGGTTGCAGGCATGCTAGACAGGACTTGGGGTTCAAGCTCTCCCATTCAAGGTTTTAAGGGGTTCCCCAGTAGTCCCACCCAATCAACCCCCCTTCCAGTGATAGTTTCAAGTATCACAATTCCATCCCCTTTCTTCTTCCGTCTGGATGGAGACTTCAGATAACTACATGAAAGGCAATTACTCTTCTTTGATATGTTAACGCTTAGAGGCCACAATAAACACACATTCAGTCCTTTGAAGTGTGCTGAAGGAAGTGAGGGCCATAAAGCCCCTTTGCTCTCCCCCTTTTCTCCCTCTTATGGCAGAATCCAGAGAAGGCAGAATTGGGAGTTTCTATGTTTGATAATTAAAGATGAAATATAATTGGATTCTGACAGTGGGACTGTTTGATGAATTACTAACATTTCTGGTTTTTTTCCCACCTGTTCTAATACCACATATTGGAAGAAGCATATCTTGTCTTCTAGGAACATAATATTTTTATAATTCTTGTTTTCTTGATAAAAAGTGTGATGCATTTCTTCTAGATCAGCATGTTGCAGGTTGTACTTGTTTGATGTTTTGTAAAATATGCTGAGTCAGAAGGATGAATTCTTGCATTTTATTTGCTTCTGGCTTCAGTTTTTAGCTGTATGATAATGTCCAAATTATTCAGAACAGATTTGATATTTTTACTGGCTGACTTAGACAAGCTGAATTATCCTGAAAGAGTAACTCCTGGTGATCGTGAAAATCCAAATAAAAATAATTCTTTTTATTCCTCCACAGGCTACCTGGTCATCGTAGGGTGTATAAGCTTTGCTGTGTGCTACAAATATGGCCCTCTGGAGAATGAACGGAACATAAATCTCCTCACTTGGGGTCTGCAGACTTTCGGCTTGCTGCTCCTTTATATGAGCATTCAGATACGATATATTGGCGTCATCTTGATTGTAACTGCAATCTGCACTAAAAACCTGGAGTACCCTGTCATATGGGCCTATGCCATCTACAGGTGATGGATGGGAAACATTGGCTTGGCTCAACCTAGAAAACATAATGTAAATAATAGGTCCATTAAGACATTTGTAGGGTATGGCTGGGTGAATATGTTTATATGCATAATGGTGTTCCAGAAATGAGTGACTTACATTTTCAGTTGTTGAAATTCTTAGTATGTTATTCTTTCCTGGCTAATTCTCTAGTTTCTATAGTGTATGGATAATGTCAGATGACAGACATCATTATATGATTCCCTGGAGGAGGCAGCTGCCAAAAAAAACCCTCTGAAATTGCAAAATCTCAAGAAAGAACACTGAAGACTCGGAGTTAGTTTTAATTTGGGGGTTCTATACTGCACTGTTTAAGGTAGTATTAGTTATGCGATATCTGAAGCACTGAGGTCAGCCTATGTTTTAAATCCTCTAAAGGTGAAATTATTGTTTGTTTAGTTTGGGCTTACCATGCTATGTGATCTCAGGCGCTGTTTAGTGTGTTGAACATATTTCATGATCTATCTGTTGAGATTTTGGGTGGCTTATAAAGCTTTCCTTTTTCTTGTGTCTTCACCACAACCTGGGCACACTTGTAGAAAGCACTTGCTCAGAACTGAAGTGCATTAATGAATAAAGAGAAGTACCTTTTGCTGACCATTTTTTTTAAACAAGGTAATCCCTGCTGTATATTTTTATCTAAGAGACAAAACAAAACGAGACACATAGATGACAAGCAATTTTAGAAGCTGTAGAAAATGATGTAAATTTCTTCTGATAAAAGTTCATGTAAATTTCTTCTGATAAAAGTTCATTGTTGAGGTGAGAGGCAGGCTCCTGATCTATGTCTTCTGTTTTGTAAAGATATCTGGGTGTAAAGATATCTGACTAAGATATCTGGGTGTTGCACTTGAGTGCTTTGTCTAAATATATTAGCAAGATATTTCAGGAAAATGAGATACAATTGATTTAAGATTCCTCGAACCATAAAGTTTTTGCTAAACATGGGGAGAAATGAGGGCTGATTAGCTAAGAACACTTATTAGATCATGGAAGATTCTACTCTCGTAAGTGCTGCTGAGCAACAGTGAGTCCACATTCTCAAGAAGAGGCTTGATTTCAAAGCACCATTCTGATAATCTTTATCAGAGGCCTTTGGCATGTTGAAGATGAACAATAATACAATAGTATCACAAACAGATATAACAATGTTTTAGCATTTCTTAAGATATTTATGCAAAAGATGTAATATGACCGCAAGTTGTTACAGAATAATTCAGTAAAACTGGGAGGACAATATCCCTGTCAAGAAGGCCTAGGTCTAGAACATTCAACTCTGAGCCCAACTTATAATAGGGTACAGTGTTGAGTGTGTGTGTACCTCTCCTAAGTGCCCTCTCCTAAGTGGTTTGAAGATGATTGCAAAGGGCCAGATTTCAATGTTTGACTTACAGGTGCTACTAACGCCATTGCTGTCCTAGCAGGAAGCTGTTCACAGCTCCAGAAAAGCCCACCCCACCACGCCTGTTGACCGAGGAAGAATATCGGATCCAGGGGGAAGTAGAGACACGCAAAGCCTTGGAACAATTGCGGGAGTACTGCCAAAGTCCAGAGTTCTCTGCGTGGAAAGCAGTCTCCCGCATCCAGACTCCAAAAAGGTACTGTCCATGAAGATCATCGGAAGGGAAGGGTCAGCTACAATGTGCTGTGGGATTTTTTTTTTTTTTTTTTGTAATCTTAAAATTTTAAGAAACTCAGTTTAAAGCCATATTTGTGGGAGGACCACGAAAAGGGATGTATAAGGAATCAAATTCAAAACTGAATCTAGGTTTCTTTCATGGGAAGAAAACCCATCTTTTGTATGTACATGCTATACTCAGTTAGGTTTCCTCCCCTCCCCCAATTGTCTTGCAAATACTTGGTAAAAATTGTAGAAGGAAGTAGTTGTAGGGTTCATTAGTTATAGCATTGCCTACGTTGTTCTTTCTTTCTTTCTTTCTTCCAGATTTGCTGATTTCATAGAAGGTGCCTCACATGTCGTTCCCAACGAGGTTTCTGTCCATGAGCAGGAGTATGGGTTGGGGGGTTCCTTTCTAGAGAATCAGCTCTTTGAAGAGGAAGATGAGGAAGATGACACCAGTTTTGACGAGGAGGATTGTACAGAGACACCGTGGCCCCAGAATCACTTACATTTTCAAGATAAAACTGGCCACTGTTGATGCAAGTGGATTGATTGATGCCCCTTATTGAGCACGTCTGCTGTTACAATTGAGGATTGCTATAGAAAAGCCTTTTCTGTGTAGCATTGCTTAAGTAGCAGCGTAGGCTTCACAATCTCTTGAGAGAAAGGAGTTTGACAGGGCTCTAAAGCCCTGCCATCTATTCCAGACCCATGACACGATCATGAACTGCAACATACTTGGCATGTACTTCAAGATCCTTGACTAAATATCTTAACTCCAAGCTGGTCAGAACCTACAGCTATTAGCTGTGAGTAGCCTAAGGAGGAGGAATATGGAGAGCTTGTAAATCGTTACTGAAAGCCAGTGAAAAATGACAAATTATTTTGCCCTGATAAAAACAGGCTACCTGAAGAAAGGTTTGAAAGTCCAGGTGAATTTGATAGATATATCCTGGGAAACAATAGCTGCTGCCCTTTGATTTTCCAGGGTACCAACGAAGTTTTGAGAGCGTGCTGCTCTTCCTCCAGTGGCTATGCTTTTCACTTGTTGGCTTAAATATTGTTTCCTGGGTTGAGTACACTGAAGGTGTGAGGCTACTGCTTGTTGCAGAATGTGTGATGAGCTTGCTGGGAGCCAGTAAGTCACTAGGTCTCCCAAGGAGATTCTTTCGTCCTATACATGGTAATTGCACAAATAGAAATATTTTTAATTATATACCTTGAGAAGGGGGTTGCTTCAACTAAAATACTTCCTGTAGACATCACAGGATGTTCCCTGTTTTAACTTATTTGTGGCCTTTTTGGTGGGGCTGTGTAAAACTGACTGTACCAGATATGAGCCACTTTCAATTTGAAGAATTAATTTCTGAAAGGCTGGAGTGGAGGTTCCAGAATGGTTTGAAGAAAAAAACAAATCTGAAATGCTGGAATTTTTTTTTTACAAAACTGCTTTTTGGGAATCCAAAACTTTGTGATCTTCAGCAAACCCACAATGGCTCAGATTTAAATCGTCTTGTTTTTACCTGAAAGTCCTCAATAATACTGTAATCCTGCGAGAAAATTCAATTGCATCTGAATGAGGACACCGCAATAAATTCATAGTAGGTGCTTACATGCAATACCTGCCCAAAATGTTTGTATTTATAGCCATCCAATTTTTATTAACTGATAAATTGGTCACGAAGTTGTGCTTTTAAGTTTCTGTTGCTGCCCCCATCCTTAACAGGATTGAAAGAGCTCTAATAATCCATTCTATTTTCAGGCCCTGTCAGCTTCCTAGTCACTAAAGTTTGGTTTGGTTACACTAGTTCAGTTTGGTTACATAAGGATCTGTTATTTTAACTATCGGTAGGATTAGAGTTGGTTCCAAAAACCAGAAGACAGGGAAAACCTATCAAACAATAAAGTTGACATACTATATTTTTCCTGTCCATTTGAAGTGTTAAGAAAAAGCTATGGTCCTTGCTATATGCATGCCAAATGTGTAAAATGTTAAAACCAATCTGAAATAACGAGGATAAAAGATTTAATTTATGCAGTACATCTTTACTTAATTTGGGATACAAACCATGAAGGTGTTTTGAATAGAATAAAATCTTCCCAAATGGTCAAAGCTAATACAGACATAACTGAATTTTTAGACTGAATAAATGGAGAGTACTTTAGTATTTTCTAACTTGACTTGTGAAATTTTTTTAATAAAAGTATTTTTTTGTATAGTAGAAAATGAACTTTGTGTTGTCATTTGGGAAGTCAAGAGATCTAATCCCACTTACTGACATTAGTACTGTAATTTGCATAATAATCTGCAAACAACCCTAACCTTTGACTGAAAGATTTCTACCATCTGTTTGTTGGGTTGTCCTGGTGAGTAAGTAACTGAACAGTGAAGTAAACTTGGCAATGAGTTTCGAAAAGTGAAAAAAAAATGAGTGGTCATCTTATGTGCTTTTTGGGCTGTTGGCTGATGTAACTTAGTCAGAGTTCAGGAAGATATTTCCTAACCAACTCACTCAATTTTACAACTGATTTCATTGAGAGGTACTGTGGTTGATAAGAGAACAGTGATGAACAGCACCTATGTAAGTTGAATTTGGCAAATGAAGGATAGAGAAACTTGATTCAGTGGTTTCTAGTTCACATGTTCCTGCTTTCAACTGACCTATCATTCTACATGCTTAAAAGTGTCTCGTTTGAACTCTATTAAATGAGCCCTTTGTAATGCCTGAAACATTCCCCAACTTCCTGTGTTCAAAAAGTTTCTGTATGGCATTTTTCTCTCTTAATGCCTCTGCAGCCAAAGGATTTGTAAGTTTCAGTCCTTAATGGTCAAATCTGCCTCATAATTTCTCCCCTCTCTAATTCCAACACAAAAGAAAGTTATGGATGATAAAGATGAGTGGTCTGGCTTTTAGGATTATCCGATTATCTGAGATTGCTGTTAAAATTTTAAATGTTTACCTTAGAACAGGCATTGTCAACTGATTTGGTTCAGGAATTGTGTCCACCTTTCATAGTTGCTACTAGGATGCAAGCAATAAATGCTAGTAATAAAGGAGAATTATTTGTAGCTCAGGGTTGATATGAGTCCTTTGTGCTCTCTGAGCTTGCTTGTTTTCTTGCAGACCTTTTATTACCCAAACTAGGTAACATCATCATCATCATCATAATAAAGTTGGAAGGGACCTTGGAAGTCATCTAGTCCAACCCCCTGCTCAGGCAGGAAACCCTATACCATTTCAGACAAATGGCTGTCCAGTCTCTTAAAAACTTCCAGTGTTGGATCATTTACAGCTTCTGGAGGCAGGTTGTTCCACTGGTTAATTGTTCTAACTGTCAGGAAGTTTCTTAGTTCTAGGTTGCTTCTCTCCTTGATTAGTTTGCATCCGTTGCTTCTTGTCCTGCCTTCAGGCGCTTTGGAGAATAGCTTGACTCCCTCTTCTTTGTGGCAGCCCCTGAGATATTGGAACACTGCTATCATGTCCCCCCTCATACTTCTCTTCATTAAATTAGATGATGTTATACCTAGCTTGGATAATGAAATGTCTGCAAGAAAACAAACAAGCTCAGAGGGCACCAAGGTGCACTTAAGGGCACCTTAAGCAATAAATCTGAACTTAAAATAAGAATTCTTTGTTAGCTGGAATTGGTTGACTATATAAAGTGTTATAATACCTTTTTAAAGTTACAAACAAGGTATCTTTCTATGCAGTATGCTTTTAATTAAGGGGGGCAAGATATATAATTTTTTCCTTTATTGCATTCTTTCACTTTTAAACTTTTCTTTGACAATGCATGTATTTTTATCTGTTGGGGTTTTTTTTTCTGTTTTACTGTCATTATTTTAAAAGCAATAAGAAATAAATGGAAAAGAGAGGCAAGGCTGATTCACTTATCTTTAACCACCAACAGTCTGATTTCAGAGCTTTCATGCTTGAGCAGTTATTATTCATAAAGTTCACATTTAAAATATTAAAAGGACAAAAGTCTTGCTTTCAGTCAAATGTCCTGTGATTCAGTGGCTGCTATGCTGTGTCATCTATCACTGAATTTGATCATAAATTATAGGTTCAGTTCAACATGGATGTAGACCTGTCCAGATGCTCCTATATAAACCAGACATCAGAGTTGTAATACTACAACAAGAATCAAATGGTCATATATTGCATATAGTTTCTTTAACTACAACAAAGAAAGAGCAAAGTCTTATCTAAAAAGGATGGGAGAGAACTGAAGATAATGGTGTTTACATGGTCATTATAATGTGGTTTGGTTTGCTAAGTCTGACAGTAGCCACTGTGATTTATAAATCATGGTCTATAGATTAACATGTATGAACCCTGTCAGAAGCAGAGATGCGAGCCAGGTCATTTTTCCACTTTAGGCAAGCTTTGCAATTCATTACAATTGCATATTAATTTATTGCCCAACACTATGCCCGATATTCCAGTAATTTTCTCCATAAAGCTTTTAATGTTATGTTCATCCTATGAAATGGGCTAGACTTCCCCCCCCACAAATGACTTATCCAAATGCTTGTGCTATGGCTAGTGAGATGAATGCTGTATTTTCTAGCATCCAGGAGACTGATGCAACACATGCTGTGTTTACATACAAGAAGCCATAGCCACTGAACTGATCAGTAAGACAGCATCCATTTGAATAATCTGTCCTCACCAGCTGCATAATTTCGGCCTTTGTTTTTTCATTCCATTTTTCTACACTAGCTTTGTTTTCAGATCTCTACCCAGCAAAACACTTGACACTGCTAGCCTCTTAAGAGCCCATTTAGAAGTAAATAAAACCTCTCAATTATTAACCAGGTAATTCATGTTTTGTAAGCAATCTGTCGGTTACAAAGAATTATTAATTCCACTTGCCAGTGAAAATTAAATTTTGAAAGCAACACGGTGTTTAAAAAAGCCCTCTCCAAAAGAAATAATTTTAGCTTCCTTGCATCAGGTATTTAAAGTATCCGCAAATCATTAAAATGGCATAATCATCAGATTTATTGAGACCAAATGTATAGTAAAACATATAGAAATAGAGACCTATCTGTTTAAACACATTAAATTAAAGCACGTTATGGCAAATAGGGACAAATCCATCATCCACTGCTTTTCTGCATGGAAGGCAGCTTCAGGTTTTCCTGTCATCCAGATAACTCTTTTACAGAATATGCTGGGGAGAGCCATGAAACAGAACAGAAGGGAGAATGCGAAAAACATTAAAGGTACAGTTAAAACTTCCATACATCTCATTTCCAGTATCTGCACCACTTTCACTTTCTTGCTTACATTGTAGATGTTGACCTTTAAAAACTTGGCCACATTTAATTTTACTTCCTTCTACATTGCCCTTAGTGAGTACTGCAGTTGTGCTGTTAAAACCCTTTCCACAAAACACATCTACCTCGGTAGCATGTATAAGATAAATCCCTGGTCTCCCTACACATTTTATAAAAGGTAGCCCAAGTATACATACTGCACCTCCAGGAACTGGCTATTCTTGTTCCTTTACTGGTATAAGCATATTTACTGGTATAAGAGAATTGGTTCAAGTGCCAGCATTATTGCTGTAATGCAACTACTGGTAGCTTATTCAACACCCCTCTTTGGTCATGCAGTTAGAAGACCCCAGTCTGCTGTTTCTCTGAGCAGCCAGGCCAGTCTTTTGTAGAGTATTATCAGACACTGTAAGAGCTCCAAAGTTATCCCAGGGAAGGCAGGATCCCAATAAGGCAACAACTGTGCAATAAATTACAAGCAAAAAATTTTCCATGACTGTTCTAATAAGACAAGTCCCCTCAGTCAAGAATTCTGCTGCTGGACCACAGTGGCCGCGGCTCTTTCTGCATCCTCAGTCATTGTTCGCAAGCAGGCAGAGGGGGCTCTCTTCCAGCCCCTCCAACCGATGGCCTCTCTTATCCACACACCAGCATCGGCCCCTCTTCTGCCCTTTGGAGGTCCGGCACTATGGAGAAGACAAGACCATTTTCAACAGCAAAGTCACTTTCCTTGAAAATTTAGAAGAGCAGAGAAACAATACCCACTGCAGAAGACTGGATTTCTTTACATAATGCTTTTATACATGAAAAAAATAAGACAGCTCATTTGAAGCAGTTGGGTGAACAGGACAGATCATAATAAATATTTGAGGTTCAGTATAGCTGCCGCTAACACAAGCCTCTTTCTGCAGGAAAAAAATATGCAATGGCTAACCTAGATTAAAAAAAAGGAAGCTACTTCTCTAATCTTGGATCTCTTTCAAAGAAAGTTGAAACAACAACCAAAGATAGCCACGGGTTCTTCTATTACTATTGAAGAGCATAGGATTGATCCACAGCATATTCACACATCCCTCTCAATCTGTGCTTCTCAACCTTTGCAAGTTTAAAAGATATGGACTTTGTCTCCCAGAATTCCCCAGCCAGTGTGCTGGGAGCTCAACTTAATGAGATTGAGAAACGCTATTTTAAGCCATGGCAGTTCAATGAGAATACCCTTGCTGCTCTTTAAGTCCCATCCTGCACAGCCCATCGGTCGCTGCTGATGCTTTTACTAACACTTTAAGGAGATGATTGGATCAGGATGGAGATTTAGCAAGATGTTTGTATCTAGAGTGTCCTAATGAAACCAAGTTTTGAAGAACTGGAATTTGATAGGTCTTACTGAGCCTTGCCATCCAGCAAGGAGACAATCATACTGAGTTATTCCAATTGAATCAGAGTCATAGAACTCCAGTGGATTTACTTCTGTATAAGCATAAATGGTGTTGGGCTTTTATAAAGCAAGAGAAGAGAGCTAAATTTTCCCATAAATGCCATAAGGGTGGGTTTGCAGAATGGATGAACCCAGGAATTGGGGCTTTCTCCGTCAGACTTAAAGCCATAGCTTAACATAATATATAAGGAGCAAGACTGGTAAATCAATTCTATGTTACTACTCTAGTGCAAACTGGAGAGCTCATTGGGCTTTGGCCATTTTTAAAATTTCTCACCCACCCTTTCTCTCACTGTGGGAAACTCACTCGCTGGACTAATTTCTTTGACATTCCAGCCTAAAATTGAGTTTTGCCTGCATGGGTATGTCTTCCCTCAAAGATCCCGAGCTGCTTCCTTTGCTTTAAATAATATTTAAAATAGGTACCTGCTTTCGCCTGTAAAAGCCTTTGGTGTCACAGTTGGGAATGAAGATATCTTCGCCGTTCATGTAGAGGGGAGCCTTCAGCTCCTGCAAGATGGCTGCCAAATGCATGCGACAGGGACCCTGTGAAATACAAGAGCCAATTAGTGATTGAAAGGACAAAAAAACACTGCGCTGCATGGAGATGGGCAGGCCTTTAATATAGGCATTTGGCTCTAGGTAATGTTAGCAGCACTCTATGCCAGGGGTCCCCAACCCTCGGCCATGGCCTACTACTGGGCAGCCACCCCGTTCAGAAGTGGGCCACGCAAGCAGCGGGCAAATGGGCACACATGCACAGCTCCATTTGTGCAAGCAGTCGGCATGTAAGCTCGCACACAAAGCTCCATTTGCATGAGTTGTCAGCATGCACACCTGCTGCTTGCATGGAACCACTCCCTTGCTGGTCCGCCAAGGCTGGGGATCATAGCTCTATGCAACAAAAGCAATCATGCTGGGTTGGTGATTCTTTCTCCCTAACATGCTGTCTTTTAACTCACTATATGTATTTGGGGATATTTAAAAAGCAGAAGCATCTCTTGGCAATCTCACATGCTTTGCAAAACTACACGCTTTGCTGAATATGCAGGTTGGGAGAGGGACATTGAGATGCAGATCCCCCAAAAGCAATGATGTGCAGATCTGTTAGCAAGTCTCAGGATTGCTATGAAGCAATAGAGAGCAAGATGCATGAATTCCAGCAAGGCATGAGAGGAAGGAAAAGGCAGCCCCTTTTATTCTCTTCCAGGGCTTGGTGCCCAAGATCAGGCCTCTCATTTCACTCACCATATCAAATTCCTGTTTAATACCATGATTTAGGGGGTCTTGTTGTAGCTGGGATTTGTCCACCACGACATCTGGCAAAGGGTCTTGGATCTGAAGGAGGAGAGGTTCTTGGGTTGGATGATCTGTCTGATAATTTTCCCTTCTGCCATCACCTAGAGAAACAGAATTCAGATTTTTTTAAAAAATGTCAAGGGCAAAAACATTCAACTTCAGGCTTCTTCACTGCAGCACTTCAGGATTTTATCACAACCGGTACAAAAAACAATTTTGCACCAACTTTAAGGAGAAGTTCATAAAAGATATTGGCTTCTAATACTTTGGGGACTGCCCAGTTAGTTAATGTATGCTTCTTTTGTATTTTAATTGAATTTGCATGTCACCAACTCTATTCAAACTTCTGGTGTTTTATGTATTATCTATTCTTTGTAAACCATCCTCAGTCCACAGAATTAAGTGGTGTTAGTGAAAGTAAATAGATATTGCTGATGGATAGATGGCATTCCAACTTCCTTTATACTATTTCTCTCCATCATTCCATTGGGTTAGAAAAAATAAGATGAAAATTAATTTTAATGTTGTTACCAGCAGTAGCCACAGGATGTAGCTGCAGTATGTTACATCTACAGTAGGCACTACTTTCTCCATACGCAGTGTTTCTCAACCTTGACAATTTTAAGGCATGTGGACTTCAACTCCCAGAATTCCACAGCCAGCAATGGGAGTTGAAGTCCACATGCCTTAAAATTGTCAAGGTTGAGAAACACTGCTCCATAGTGTCTAATGAGGATATGTGTGTATGAGAGAGAGAGAATGTGAAGATTTAAATTGAGGTGTGCGCATATGTCTTGCTTCTGCGTATTTATTTATCTCTAAGAAAGAGGGGGGAATCTAACCAGAGTGTGTACATACAGGGTTCCCCCCCCCATTTAATCAGTTAATCATGTCTGATTCTTGCAGACTGACAAGTCCCTGCACTTTTCTTAACGTTTTTCAGAAATGGCTTGTTGTTACATCTTTTCAAGGGCTAAGAGAAAATGACTGGTTCAAGGTCATCCTTCATGGCTAAGGCGAACTAGAACTCATGATTTCTAGCCTGATGTCTTAAATCACTAGATCACACTGACTCTCCACATGTAGGAAGTCCTCACTGGGGACCAGAATTGTAACTGCTGCAGTTGTTAAATGAAACACCACATGACCGCACCACTTAGCAACGGCAGTTCCGGTAGTCCTGGATGTGGTCATTAGGCCAGGCCTGCATCATCACCTCTTCTGCCCTACCGCACTCACCTTAGCTTGAACTCCCCCACCCTCCTATACCTATCTTTATTTTTGCCCTTTTAGTTGCTCTGCACTTCGCTGCCCTTAGCTGACTTTTGCTGTCTTCTTCCTCCTGCTGCTGATGTGATATGCCTGGCCCTTTGCAAAGCAGCTGAGGCACTTGCATGACTTTCATAAGGCTGCACACCGACCAGCAGTTGGGTGTGCCTTATCAGCAGGAGGAGGAAGAAGATGGCGAAGGTTCACAAGGAGGTAGCAAGGCTGCAGGGTGGCCAAAGAGACAGAGCAGGGTGGAGCTAGATGGCGGGGGGGGGGGGAGGGAGAGAAAAATGAAGTGCATCCTGAGGTTGTAAATGCGGGCATTCTTCCAAGCACCTGAATCTGTTGTTGCTGAACAAGCTGCATATATTCCACTCTGGATCACATGACCAAGAGCTTAAAATGGAGGAGCCAGCAGCATTCCAAGCCGCTGCTCCATTGCCTCACCTATGGGGGATACCTTACACTACAAATAGTCCTTAACTTATGAACCTCTGAAGATATGATGGCTTTTGAAAAAGTGACTCACAAACTGTCCTTGAAGTCACAACTGTGACACACACACACACACACACACACACACACACACACACACACACGGTCACATGATCACAATGCGGCCAATTTGGCAACTGGTTCACATTTATGATGGCTGCAGCAGCAGTTGTGGTTAAGTGATCACGATTTGTGACCTTCCCAGCCAGCTTCTGACCAACAAAGTCAATTGGGAAGGCTGGATTGACTTACTGACCATGTGATCTATTTAATGGCCATAGTAAAAACTGGGTCCAGTCACATGATGACTTGCTTTACACTCATTTATGACCACAATTGAAATTGGAATTTCCATCATATGTCAAGGATTATCTGTAGTGTGTTATTTTTCCTAGAGACTACGGGTAGTCCTCAATTTATGACCACAACTGAACTCAAAATTGATGTTGCTAAATGAAACACTTGTTAAGTGAGTTTTGCCTCATTTTACAACTTTTCTTGCCACAGTTAAGTACATCACTGCAGTTGTTAAGTTAGTAACAAGGTTGTTAAATGAATCATTGACTTTGCTTGTCAGAAGGTTGCAAAAGATGATCACGTGACCCGAAACACAATAGCTGTCATAATTGTGAGTCAGTTTCCAAGCATCTGAATTTTGATTACGTGACCATGGGGGATGCTGAAATGGTTATAAGTGTGAAAAATGGTCATAACTCACTTTTTTCAGTGCTACTGTAACTTTGAATGGTCACTAAATGAACTGTTGTAAGTTGTTGTAAGTCGAAGACTACCTGTATTTCTCTGCAGTCCCTAGTAAATCTGGCTCATTTTCAAATTCAATCTTTCTTTTTCTGGCTTCTGCTTTTTACAGGAGCCATCACCTCTGTGAAAATTACTTGTTCTTTCCACGTCTACAATTAACCCAATTATGGCCTCCCTCCATAATTCAGGTTCTTTCAACCTATGAATGCCACCATCAGCCTAGTACAAGACACCAAAGTCAGCCTAGGAATTTCTAGATTACTGAACCTCAGATCTTCGAATAGTTCAAAGGCCAGCTTTGGTTAGAGACTCCGATAGCCAGAATCTCCAGGTGGTGCATAGAAATGGTCCCCAACTCAAATGTAGTAGATATGTTATATTCAAAGTTATGTTGTTCTCCTGCTTTCTAAATTACCTAACTGGTTGACAGGTTAAAGAGACCTCAGGTGCTAGTATTCTTTATAAGAAAGTATCAAATGTTTTGTACTAGAATAGATATTCCCCATTTGGGGATTTTTTTTTTGTGCTGGCCAATGGAGCCATTTTTAACATTGTTAGCTTTATTTTAAGTTCTTGTACACCAACGTCTAGTGCATGAAGTTGTAATCCTGTGCACCTGCTGGATACACATTGTCTGATTGCCACCCTAGGTTGCCTACTTGCTGATTCTGAAGGTAGCCTAGAAACCGCTGCACTGAATAACAAGTACATTATGCATTTATTTAAAAATTCACTCATGAGAAGCATTATCTAGTTCAGTGGTTCTCAACCTTTCTAATGCCGCAACCCCATAATACAGTTCCCCATGTTGTGGTGACCCCCAACCACTTATACATCACTGGGTGCCAGGGGCATGGCCAAAGAAAAGGGGAAAAAAATGGCAGACAGCCTTGTTTGGCGACCCCCGTGAAATGGTCGTTCGACCCCAAATGGGGTCCCAACCCACAGGTTGAGAACCACTGATCTAGTTGATTTTCCCCAAGCAAAGGATTTGTATCTCTTGTCTTTGATGGAAACAGATTTGACTAAGACTTAAGATAGACAAGACTGAAACCAAGAACAACTGTCACCCAAACAAGGCTTGGTTTAACTTAATGTCATTTGTCCACCTAACGGACACCCTCTGCAGATTTTCTCCCATTCCATTCAAGATTGTAAATTGATATAGAGCAGGGGTAGGCAACCTTGGCTCTTTTATGACTCGTGGACTTCAACTCCCAGAATTCCTGAGCCAGCCATGCTGAGGTGAAAGGGAGAGGTTTCCAAACTGAGCCATGCTGGCTCAGGAATTCTGGGAGTTGAAGTCCACGAGTCATAAAAGAACCAAGGTTGCCTACCCCTGGTACAGAGAAAGCTTTAAAGTTACTCTTGTTCTCACTGCCCCTCCCCTCTTTTTCCTATTTTGTACTTCCTCATTAATTCTTCAAAGCAAAAGCTTGTGTAGTTTTATAAATCACATGTGGGCCTAAATAAATCTTAGTCTAGATTTTACGTATTTTTTTTCTCCTACCAGCTAACACTGCCGCTTTTGCTGGTACCGTCATCAACTATATTGAATTTCTGAATTTCACATGTAATTCACCAGGGAGCATCAATCTTGTACCAAGCAGCCCATTCTAGAATGCTATCATCTCCAATTTAATCTGGATTGTACAAGATGGTCTTCCAAATATAGGATTTGACCATTACAGGTAGTCCTCGACTTATGACAATTGAGCTCAAAATTTATGTTGCTAATGAAAACACTTAAGTGAGTTTTGCCCCATTTTATGACTTTTCTTACCACAATTGTTAAGCGAATCACTGCAGTTGTTCAATTAGTTGCAACGGTTATTAAGTGAATCTGGTTCCCCAATGACTTTGCTCGTCAGAAGGTGGCAAAAGGAGAGCATAAGAGCCTGGGACACAGCAACTATCATAAATATGAACCAGTTGCCAAGTAGCTGAATTTTGATCATATGATCCTGGGGCTGCTGCAATGGTCTTAAATAATAATAATAATAATAATAATAAAAAAATAAAAAAATGGAAGAGACCTTGGAGGTCATCAAGTCCAACCCCCTGCTCAGGCAGGTAACCCTATACCATTTCGGACAAATGGCTGTCCAGTTTCTTCACAAAAACGTCCAGTGTTGGAGCATTCACCGCTTCTGGAGGCAGGTTGTTCCACTGGTTAATTGTTCTAACTATCAGGAAGTTTCTCCTTAGTTCTAGGTTGCTTCTCTCTTTAACCAATTGCTTCTCTCTTTAATCCTTTGCTTCTTGTCCTGCCTTCAGATGCTTCATTAAACTAGACATACCCAATTCCAACAACCGTTCCTTATATGTTTTAGCCTCCCAGTCCCCAGTTGTAACTCAGAACAGTCAATAAATGAACTGTTGTAAGTTAAGGACTACTTGTATTTCAGGAAAAAAATGGCAATGACTGATCACTGAAAGGCAAAGTTGGTTTGTTGATTATACACAGTAACATGCTGCAGCAATTTCATTAAAGTAGAGCAACTCAGATGCTAAAAATAAAGGAATTTGCCAGATTAATTAGGAACACTAGAAATTATTACTTATATTTCATCAG